GTTAGGAAGAAAAAAAAAGCCAGCCACCGCGGGGGAGCCCAGCCAGTGCGGCCGGGGTCCGGCGGGGACTGTCCAGTGCGGGGTCTTCGCGCTCTGCGGCCCTAGAGGGCGGGGGACGCGCAGCTGGGCCCGGGGAAGGCGGCCTGGGGTGCTGCTAGGGGCTTTTCCCTTTTAACGATTGTAACTGCACAGAGTGGAGCCGCTCTGGCGCGCTCCCTCCGAGCTCAGGGCCCCCTGGAAACTTGCGTCACGGCCACCGCTTCCCACATGCAACTTGGGGCCGACTTCGGAGGCCGGCCAGCCTACTGCCTCCCACCCTCCCTTCCTGCCCAGCTGCCCGGCACTGGCCGCCTAGCCCAGCTCCAAAGCCTGGGAATCCCGGAGCTGGAGAGAGGAATGCAAAGGGGGCGCGCCGGGCGCCTCGGATCCTGGGGCTGCCCTAGGAAGCGGGGGCCCAGGCAGGGAGGGAAACGTGGAGGGAGGCCAAGACGGCAGCGGCCTGGGGGCAGGCTGCCAGCGCGGCTGGGAGGTCTGGTGGCTGCTGCCGGGTCCCGTCCTAACCTTCGACATACACACTTTCCCCCTCTGCGAGGAGGCAGGACGGCGGGAGTCTTGGCCTGGGCGGAGGGAAGGCTGCAGCTTCTCATTCATGGAGAAACAAATGCGAGACTTGCTCCTCCACCAGGGTGCGCTTTCTACAGGGCTGATGGCCTCGGGCGGAGGAGGGAGGGACACTAGCTAACGAACTTCTGTCCCCGCCACCACCCTCACCAGGTCCCCACCTTCCTTCCCCAGGCCCTCCCCTGGCTCCTGGAGGGTGGGCCCCAGGCTCCAGGAGACCAGTCTGCCTTGGAATGTCCTGCTTCCTGCCCACCACCTTTCTCAATCCCATTCACCTTCAAGGTTCCGCCCACATTGCACCTCCTAATTGAAATACTCCTACCAATAACAAGGATTACTGTTATTATCCTATCCTATATCAATTATCTATACTAATAAAAGGGTAATATGCTAATTAGACTGGGAGACCAGACATCCTTCCAGACAAAGCCATGGTGGTGGGGCCAAGGCAGAGGCGGTTAGGGATGATCAGGCTGGCAGGGGGGGGAGGTGGGGGCGGGGAGGGCCGCAGGAAAAAAAGAAAAAAAGAAAAAAAGGAGCGGTTGGGAGCTTCGGTCACCTGACAGCCTGCAAACAGCTCAGGCACTGGGCCACTAGTCCTATATAATAAAATGTAATATGCAAATTGACCAAACAGCGGAAGGACAGGTCTATGACGCACACTGACCACCAGGGAGCAGACACTCAATGCAGAAACTGCCCCCTGGTGGTCAGTGTGCTCCCACCACAGGGGAAGTGCCCCTGAGCCAAAAGCCCAGTTCATGGCAGTCCTACAGATGTCCAACTGCCAGCTTAGGCCCACTCCCCAGGCTTAAGCTGTCAGTCAGACATCTCCCAAAGGCTCCCAGACTGCAAGAGGGTGGGTACAGGCTGGGCTGAGGGGACCCCCCCCAACCCCCACCAGTGCATGAATTTTGTGCACCAGGCCTCTAGTTAGAGATTATTATTGTTATTAGATCGTGAGAGCACCTTGTAGATGTTGAGCAGTTTTGCATGCATGTTTCCCAATCCCTAAAGCATACTGTTGGGCAGTTTTCCCTAAAGACAGAGCCTAAGCCACTTAACATCACAGTCCCTGGAAGGCCTCAACTGTGGGCACAGGGAATGTGCTCAGGAAACGATGAGAGACAACAGGATACAGAACCCCATAACTATACACTGAACAACATGTACAGTGCCGGGATGGATGGATAAATGAATGAATGAATAACAGCTGGGAGAAATGTATCTACCCCCTTGCTCTTTCTTTTCCTACAGAACTGGCTTGACCCAGCCTGGTCCCCATGAGCTCTGTCACTAAGACTGGCCTCTCCATTTCTGCAAAAGGCACCTTCTCACAGAGAACCCTCAGATGCACAAACCCAAAGTCCTTCGAGCTGGATCAGCAGCTCCTGCCCTAAGGCCTGAAATACCATCACTGCCCCCAGTCCTACACTCCACCTCTCTCCCATTACTATAGCAGTAGCATAGTAAGTCCCCAGAATCCAGGCCAACCTCCATTCCCAGGAGGTTCTGTACGTCCCTTAATCCGATCCCATTTCCCTCCCCTTCCCAACTCCTAAGCTCAAGTTCACTGTGCTTTCTGGAGCCTCGGAAGGTGTTCAGCATAACCCCTGAGATCCTTGACATCTGATAGTACCTTCTTGCTCTAAATTAGGAGTCAGCAAACCTTCTCTGTAAACTGCACATAAAAGTTACATGTATTAGTTTCCTATCGCTACTGTAATAAATTACTATAAACTTAGTGGCTTAAAATAACATATTTATTCTCTGGAAGTCGGAAGTCCAATTGGGTTATATTTGGCTACATCAAGGTGTCAGCAGGGCTGTGTTCCTTTTGAAAGCTCTACAGGGTATTATATTTCCTTGCCTTTTCCAACTTCTGGGAAGTGGCCCGGATTTCTTGGCTCATGGCCCCTTCCTCCATCTTCAAAGTGTGTCACTCCAACTTCTGCTTCTGTCATCACATCTTCTCTGACTCTCTTGCCTCCTTTCTATGATGGCCTTGGACCCACCCAAATAATCCAGAATAATTTCCCAATCTCAAGATCCGAAACATGTTCAAAGTTTGCTTTGTAAGGTAACATTCACAAGTACTGGAATTAGAATATAAATATCTGGGGGGGGGGGGCATTATTCTGTCCACGACACCACTCTTAGTTTGTGAGCCCTACAAAATGAAGCAGAGGTTACAATATGCTGCAGTAATTTCATTCTGCAAAGAATGAAAACGGTGACTCAAACATATTGTATTGTGGCCGAAACCGGTTTGGCTCAGTGGATAGAGCGTCGGCCTGCAGACTGAAAGGTCCCAGGTTTGATTCCGGTCAAGGGCATGTACCTGGGTTGTGGGCACATCCCCAGTAGGAGATGTGCGGGAGGCAGCTGATCGATGTTTCTCTCTCATCGATGTTTCTAGCTCTCTATCTCTCTCCCTTCCTCTCTGTAAAAAGTCAATAAAATATATTAAAAAAAAAAAAACATATTGTATTGTGGAGTTCACAGCATGATTATTCACAATAGCCAAAAGGTACAAACCACCCCACTGTTCATCAACTGATGAATGGATAAATAAAACATGGACCATCCATACAATAGAATATTATTCAGCCTTAAAAAGGAATGAAGTTCTGATACATACCACATCATGGATGAACCTTGAAAACATAATGCTACGTGAAATAAGCCAATACAAAAGATCAAGTATTATATGATTCCACTCAGGTGAAATATCTAGAATAGACAAATTCATTAAGACAGAAAGTAGATTAGAGGTTACCAAGGGCTGTAGGGATGAGTGAATGGGAAGTTATTGCTTAAGGAATATGGGATTTCTGTTTGGGGTGATGAAAACTTTTGGAAATAGTGGTGATGATGGTACAACATCGTGAATGTAATTAATGCCACTGAATCATACACTTTAAAATGGTTAAGTTGGCAAATGTAATGTTATATATATTTTACCACAATTAAAAAAATAAATGAAACAGCCACCCGGCTGTATAGCTCAGTGGTTGAGCATCTACCCTGGAATCAAGAGGTCATTGATTCAATTCCTGGTCAGAGCACATGCCTGGGCTGCGAGCTCAATCCCCAATATGGGGCGTGCAGGAGGCAGCCAAACAATGATTCTCTCTCATCATTGATGTTTTCATCTCTCTCTCCCTCTCCCTTCCTCTCTGAAATCAATAAAAATAAATTTTTTTTAAAAGTTAAACAGCCTTGGCCAGGTGACTCAGTTAGTTGGAGCATCGTCCCATGCACCAAAGGTTGTGGGTTCAATTCCTAGTCAGGGTACGCATGGGAGGCAACCAAGTGCAATGTTTCTTTTTCTCTCTCATCAATTAAAAAAAAAATATGTATCAGTGGGCTGGCTTTAGCTTATGCACAGTAGTTTTCCCTCACTTCCCTCCTTATCTGGCTCAGAATTCATAGTCTATCAATATAATCATCTTACATACACTTTCCCTTTCAAATCTAATAACCCCACCTGCCCTGCAACTACCCCCCAAGCAGAACAGGGCTGGGAAAAGGAAATCCCACAACCTTACTGAGTGACCTTATTTTTTTATTTTTTGTTAATCCTCACCTGAGGCTATTTTTCCATTGGTTTTTAGAAAGAGTGGAAAAGAGAGGGAAAGACAGAGAGAAACACATCGATTGGTTGCCTCCTGCATAGAGCCCCAACTGGGGCCCAGGCCAGGGCAGAGCCTGCAAATGTGGTACATGCCCTTGACCGGAATCGAACCCGGGACCCTTTGGTCCACAGGCCAACGCTCTATCCACTGAGCCAAACTGGGCAAGGGCAAGTGATCTTATTTTTAAATGCCAGACCAAGATCCTGGAGTGGATCTTGGATGGCTAGTAGTCGCTTCATATTGCCCAGTACATTCTCTCTCCCACCTTCTCCTTTCAGCAAGACCTCTATCACCTCCTCCTGCGCCTCACTCTCAGCTCATGACCTCACATCCTGTTTCTCTGAGAAAATGGGAGCAATTAGAAGAAAACTTATTCCTAGAAATATCATGAGACTAAATCATGAGAATTGGAAAATCTAAATAGACCAATCAGCAATAAGGAAATTGAAAAAAACCATCAAAAATTTCCCCCCAAAAAAAGTCCAGGACCAAATGACTTCACCAGTGAATTCTACCAAATATTCAAAGAAGATTTAAAACCTACCCTTCTCAAACTCTTCCAAAAAAATTGAAGAGGCAATACTTCCTAACACATTTTATGAGGCCAACATAACCCTGATACCAAACCTGGCAAGGATAACACAAAGAAAACTACAGACTAATATCTCTGATGAATACAGATGCAAAAATCTAAACAAAATACTAACAAATGGAATACAATAATGCCTCAAAAATAATCATAATACATCACAATCAAGTGGGGTTCATTCCAGGGGCACAAGGGTGGTTCAACATATGCAAATCTATCAAGGTAATACACCACATTACATAAGAAAGGGTAAAAAGCATATGATTTTATCAATAGATGCAGAAAAAGCATTTGATAAAATACAATATCCATTTATGATTAAAACACTTAATAAAATAGGAATAGAAGGAAAGTACTTCAACATTATAAAGGCCATATATGACAAGCCTTCAGCCAGCATTATACTCAATGGTGAAAAGCTGAAAGCTTTTCCTCTAAAATCAAGAACAAGACAAGGATGCCCACTCTCAGCACTCTTATTCAACACTAGAGGCCTGGTGCATGAAATTCGTGCACTGGAGGAGTGGTCCCTCAGGCCGGCCTGTGCCCTCTCGCAGTCTGGGATCCCTCGCTCCTTACCTCCCACCTGCTCACTGCTCCTTACCACTCAGCTCACTGCTTCTTAGTGCTGCCGTGGTAGTGGGAGAGGCCAGCCATAAGCCTAGCTTCTGACCACAAGGGGGCAGCTCCTGCATTGAGCATCTGCCCCTGGTGGTCAGTGCATGTCATAGCAACTGGTCGTTCTGCCGTAATGGTTGCTTAGGCTTTTATTATATAGACTAGTGGCCCGGTGCATGAAATTCATGCACAGAGGGAGTGGGTTCCCTCAGCCCAGCCTGCACCCTCTCCAATCAGGGACCCCTTGGGGGATGTCTGACTACTGGCCTCCCCCAGAGCAATAAGGCAACTGAAAGAAATAAAAGTCATCCCAATCAGGAAGAAGTAAAAGTGTCACTTTTTGCAGATAACATGATTCTTCACATAGAAAACCCTAAAGATGCCACACACAAAAACTATTAGAAACAACAACAAATACAGTAAAGTTGTAGGATACAAAATCAGTGTACAAAAATCTACTGCCTTCCTATATACTAACCATAAAACTTCAGAAAAAGAAATTCCTTCTGCAACCAAAAGAATAAAATACCTAAGAATAAACTTAACAAAGGATGTAAAAAACCTATATACTGAAAACTACAAAGCATTATTAAAAGAGATTGAAAAAGACAACAAAATAGAAAAATATCCCATATGCATGGATTGGAAGAATCAACATAGTTAAAATGGCCACATTACCCAAAGCAATATACAGATTTAATGCAATCCCCATCAAAATCCCAATGTCATTTTTTCAAGGAATAGAACAAGAAATCATTAGATTTGTATGGAACCACCAAAGGCCCCAAATAGCCAAAGCAATTCTGAGAAAAAAGAACGAAGCCAGAGGTATCATACTACCTGACTTCAAATTATACTACAGAGCTACGATAATCAAAACAGCATGGTGTTGGCCGGGGGGAAAAAGATACACAGATCAATGGAACAGAATTGAGAGCACAGATATAAAACCACATGTATATGAGAAAATAATTTTCTACAAAGGAGACAGAAACACACAATGGAATGTAAAAAAAAAAAAAAGCCTCTTCAATAAATGGTGCTGGGAAAATTGGAAAACCAACTTCCTAAGAACTGCTCTTGCTAAAGTCACTGGTGACCTCCAAAGGGCTCTGTTTTCTGTCTTCACCATATCTGACCTTCTTGAAATTCTTTTTTTCTTGGCATCTGGGAGGCTACCCCCTGGGGCCAGTCCTCAGACCTCCCTCATCTGTCTACACACACCCCCTGCTCTTTGGACAACAGTTCCAGAAAGGACTAGTAGTTACACAGTGTGGTTCAGAATCCAGACTCTGCCTGAACCCCAGCTCCAGGGTGACCCCAGGCAAGTTCCTCAACCTTACCCAGTTTCCTCATCTGTAAAACAGAGGTCGTACCGCACCTAGCTTGCAGGCTATCACGAGAAGTTAGTGGCAGGCCTGGCATCATTAAGTGTAGTTGATATATCACTGGTACCAGGTTGCCATGGGTGGTGGTGGCCAGAGGTGTCTGAGCTGGCCCAGGGAGAATGACAGAGTTTGGTGATGTGCAAGGAAGACAGAGGAGAGGCCAAATCCCCGGCCCTATCTCCCTGTTAGAACTTGCTGCAGGTGGTCCAGCTAGAGTGGCTCAGGGGTTGAACACTGACCTATGAACCAGAAGGTCATGGTTCGATTCCTGGTCAGGGCACATGCCTGGGTTGCGGGCTCAGTCCCCGGTGTGGGGTGTGTAGGAAGCAGTCAATCTATGGTTCTCTCTCATCATTAATGTTCCTATCTCTTTCTCCCTCTCCTTTCCTCTCTGAAATCAATAAAAATATATTAAATAATAAAAATAAATAAAACTTGCTGCAGGTGAAAGGGACAGCCATGTTGTAAGGTTGACATTGAAAATGGGGCTCACCTGCTTTACAGCAGAGACGACTGCACAGAGGATCGAGTGGTGTGAAAATCAGCCCGCAGAATGCTTGCCCTTAAAAAAATTAGATCTCTTTAAAGAGTGTAATTAATAAAATGCCCACAGATGATCCCTGTTAGAAATGCAGATCCTCTACTGAGCTGGCACTCAGCGCCCTTCCCTCCCCTTTGCTCCCCTCCCCACAACCCCACCCCAAATTCCACGTAGGAGTGAATGAGAGTCATCAACAGGCTTTAATGAGGAATGGATACACAAGAAGTGGTCCATCTACACAATGGAATATTATTCAGTCGTAAAAAGCAATGAAGTAGCCAAAAAAAATGAAATGAAATATGAAATATTGACACATGCCACAACATGGATGAGCCTTGGAAACATGATACTAAGTGAAAGAAGCCAGACACAGGTCACACACTGTATGATCCCATTTACATGAAATGTCAAGAATAAGCAAATCTATAGAGATAGAAAGATTAATGGTTGCCAAGGGAATGAGGGGGCATTAGGAGGAAATGAGGGGCAAGTGCTAATCGGGGGATTCTTTCGGGGCAATGAGAGAATGTTCTAAAATTGGTTGTGGTGATGGTTACACAATTCTGAATATACTACAACCACCCAAGTTTACACTTCAGATGGGTGAATCGTATCCAATAAAGCTGTTATTTTTTTAAATGGCTTTATTGACCCTAAAGATGGCCAAAGTCCAGGGATCCCCTCCAGTAGAGGGTTCCAGAGTTCCTTTCTTCAGCCAAAGTGGGATCTGGCTGCTCTGGTGCCATTAGCACAGCCCTTCTCAGAACGAACGTGCCCTCATCCAGAATGGCTGGAAGCTCAGGTGAAAGACATGAACCCTAAGAATGTGGGTTTAACTGCAGCCCGGAGGGGAGACTGTAAATACAGAAGCTGCCGCAGATTTTCACTCTACACAGCAGCCCTGGGG